TCTATTGCTGTCCCTTTTCTGTTCCATCATTCCATCTAGGATCCCACATTACATTTAGACATCGTGTCCCCTTAGTCTCCTCTGGTCTGTGACAGTTTCTCAGACTCTCCTTGTTTTTTATGGCCTTGATAGTTTGAGGAGTACTTTTCAGGCATTCTATGGAATGTCCCTCAATTTGAGTTTGTCTGTTGTTTTTCTCATGGTTAGATTGGGGTTATGGGTTTCGGGGAAAAAGACCCCGGAGCTCAAATGACCTTCTTATCACATCACATCAGAGAGTACATCATGTCAACATGATTTATCACTGGTGATGTTAAACTTGATCACTTGGTTAGTTATTGTTGTTGTTTCAGTCTTATTGGTAGTGGTGGGAAGGCAAAGAAGCAGGTGATACTCAAGGCAGGCAGGAGAAGCACCTTTTGTAACTGTTTGGAAGGTTACATGGAAGTTGCATTCCTATTGCTCAATCTACATTGTCTTCAAAACTCACTCATTCAACAAATATTCCTAAAGTGCCTGTGATGTGCCAGGTACTCTCTTAGGTTCTAGGGATATGGAAATGAATAAAACACACAATTCCCTCCCCTCATGAAGTTACAGTCTAGTGGAGAGACAGACAAATGAGTAAAATATGTGGCATGTTAAATAGTGACAAGTGCCAGGAGGAAAATAAACTAGAAGGGGATTAGGAATCAAGCACACCATCGTGCTTATATCTGTGGGTGGGTGGGTGGGTTTGGGGCTGGTTTGCAATCTCGATAGAGGAAAGACCCCAGCAAGAAGGTGACATTTGAGTCAAGACCCGCAGAATGCGAGGGAACCAGCCATGTAGGTATCTAGGGTCAGAGCAATCCACACAGAAGAAATGGCAAATGCAAAGGCCCCAAGGTGGAACGCCTGCCATGTCCAAGGAATAGCGAGGAGAAGCTGGCGGGAATGAGGAAAAATAGCAGGAAATTAGGTTCAGGAGTTCCACAGGGATGGGGGTGCAGAATATGTAGGATTTTGTAGGCCAAAAGAAAGGGCTTTGGTTTTTACCCTGCACAGGATAGGGAGCCAACTGGAGAGTTATAATCAAATCTGATCCAACTGTGACTACTTATAGTAGGGGAAAGGGTAAAAACAGAAGATTAGGAAAGAACAGTTTAGACTGGGATAGTAGCAGTGAAGGTGGTGGGAAGGGCTCAGATTCTGGGTTAAAGATTCGAGATTGAGAGCAAGGTAATGAGATGAAAGAAAACTTTTCTGAATTTATAATAGGAAAATGTGATTTTCCTCATTAAAGAAAATCATTTTAGGCCGGGCGCGGTGGCTCACGCCTGTAATCCTAGCACTCTGGGAAGCCGAGGCGGGTGGATTGCTCAAGGTCAGGAGTTCGAAACCAGCCTGAGCAAGAGCGAGACCCTATCTCTACTATAAATAGAAAGAAATTAATTGGCCAACTAATATATATAGAAAAAATTATCCGGGCATAGTGGTGCATGCCTGTAGTCCCAGCTACTTGGGAGGCTGAGGCAGGAGGATCGCTTGAGCCCAGGAGTTTGAGGTTGCTGTGAGCTAGGCGGAGCCATGGCACTCACTCTAGCCTGGGCAACAACGAGACTCTGTCTCAAAAAAAAAAAAAAAATCATTTTACAACAGAAAACAAAATAACTTGATTAAAAAATGAGCAGAAGACTTCAGTAGATATTTCTCCAAAGAGTTATACAAATAGTCAAGAAGAAGATGAAAAGATGTTCAACATCACTAATCATGAGAAAAATACAAATTAAAACCACAATGAGATATCACTTCACGCCTAAAGGATGGCTGCTATAAAAAATATAGAAAATAACAAGTGTTGGTGAAGATGTGGAGAAATCGGAACACTTATGCACTTTTGGTGGAAATGTAAAATGGTATAGCCACTGTGGAAAACAGTATGGTGGATCCTCAAAAAATTAAACATAGAAAATATGACCCAGCAATTCCACTTCTGAGTATATATCTAAAAGAATTGAAAGCAGGGACAGAAATAGATATCTGTACACCCATGTCCACAGAAGCATTATTCACAATAGCCAAAAAGTGGAAGCAACCCAAATGTCCATCAGTGGATGAATGGATAAACACAATGTGGTAAATACATACAATAGAATTTTGTTCAGCTTTGAAAAGGAAGGAAATGCTGACACGTTACAAGATGAATGAACCCTGAGAGCATTATGCTAAGTGAAAGAGCCAGTCACAAAAAGGCAAATATTGTATGATTGCACTTATATGAGGTATCTAGAGTAGTCAAACTCATAGAAACGAAAAGTGAAATGTTAGTTGGCAGGGGCTGGTGGAAAGAGGAAATTGGCAGTTGTTTAATGAGTTTTACTTTTGCAAGATGAAAATCTGGAGACTGGGTATACAAATTGTAAATATACTTAACACTAATGATCTGGACACTTAAAAATGGTTAAGATGGCAAATTTTATGTTATGTGTATTTTATCAAAATTAAAAATTTAAAAATGTAAAAAAATGACTAGACACCTAACTTTTCAGAAATGTATCTCTTTTTGAGTTGTTTACCAGTTAACAGGAGTCAGTATGGGCCAGTTTTAATATTCCTTAATGTTATTACCCTGATGAACTGCATTGTTTTCATTTTCCCCTCTGGGTTCATTTTTTCTCCTAGCATTTACTACTATCTAAGATATATTTCACTTATTTGTTTGTCTGTCTCCCTCCCATCAGAACACAACTTCATGAGAGAAGGGATTTTTTATTATACTTACAAGAAGTCCCTCAAGTAGGAAAAATATAAATAAGCACAGGTTTTCACTATAGTAAATCTGCTTTATGGCTAGTAAACTATCTCAGCCAATGCCCGAGTAACTATACTGACTTTATATCCATTACTAAAAATGAATAAAAAGAGTACTATAGGCCTGGCCCGGTGGTTCACGCCTGTAATCCTAGCACTCTGGGAGGCTGAGGCGGGTGGATTGCTCAAGGTCAGGAGTTCGAAACCATCCTGAACAAGAGTGAGACCCCTGTCTCTACTGTAAATAGAAAGAAATTAATTGGCCAAGTAAAATATATAGAAAAAAATTAGCCAGGCATGGTGGTGCATGCCTGTAGCCCCAGCTACTTGGGAGGCTGAGGCAGCAGGATTGCTTGAGCCCAGGAGTTTGAGGTTGCCACTCACTCTAGCCTGGGCAACAAAGTGAGACTCTGTCTCAAAAAAAAAAAAAGAGAGTACTATATGCAAAAGTCTTAAGATTACAATTTTTAATGTTGAATATTAAATATTCCTTAAATTTAGACAATTAAGCTCCATTTGGTGAAGAGCTCAAAAAGTTATATTTTGTTTTTTATGATATAAAATGGTATGGTCTTGTATTATGTGACTACGATGTCCTTCTAATGATGGTTAGAGTTTTCTGGAAAATCCATGCTAAAATCATCAAAGTTAAGATTTCTTACTATATAAAGGCTATGAAGAACTGAAGTGTGATTATATTGGCTCTGCAAATGTTGGGAAGAGTTATGAGTTTGCCATTAGTGTAAGAAAAGCTTCAGAATATGTATGCAAATTTGGCAAATTGAGTTGGTTTTCCCCATGGTACCATGAATAAAAGAGACATTTTAACAAATCATAGATTCATAGAAAATCTCTAGTTTTGTGGTCTATTTCCTCATATAATAGGAAATGGATTTTGAATAAAAAGTACACGGGGACCTTGGATGAAAGGTTTATTTTTCACAGGATTGAAGAAGTGCAGGTAGAAAAGGGCAATTCCTAGAATATCTGGAGGATCTGACTAAATGAATTTCTACCTAAGCTATTAATTTACAATAACTAAAAGGTGATATTTGTCTCCTACAGTGGCCTTTTAAATTAAATATAAAAGAAATTCAGGCAGAGAAAATTATGCAGAAAAAAACTGATATTATACTGAAAATGACCAACATTTAAATCACTTTTTCCTCTGGCATTAATCAACTGTTACAGGAGAAACTGACACCCCTCCTCTACTGAATTAATACAAAATTCAACCCAGAAAAGTAAGCTGATATTTGCACCTTGATTAGAAACAGAAAAAGAACGAACTCCTACGCTGCAATTTGTCAACAAACTTCTGTATAAGTACCAAAGACCGAGAAGACCATCGTTGAAAATCTGAGATAACAAGGCATTTAAAAATAACCAACGTTTAGTGCTACTGCCGCGATATCACCGACTACGTAAACGTTGCAATTTAGTTAAAAATATATGGACTAGCCTGGATATTTTTGCAATGGTTTAATGAGTGATGATGATGCCACTACTGCAGCTGGCCCCAGGCAGTTAAACTCTTGACTGAATTTCTTTACTATTGCTTTTTGAATAGGGTGCTGTTTCTATTTTAGGGCACTTATGGGGTAAAGAACCTCACTGAAAAATTTATATACGTTCTGCTAATGTGGGAGAAAGATAATCCTCTGGACCTGTGATTTTGGGGGGAAAAAAAGACTATTTTTTTGAGTTCTTGCCTTTCTTTTCCTGATATGATGCACACAATCCCATGTACATACAGGTGAACGGCATGAAAAACTAGGGATAAACCCGAGCTGAAGTCCTGTCTTTATGAGGCTTTTGTAAAGGGAAACAGTACGCAATTTTAAGCCTTAATTGGCTTTTGGCGGATTTTAGCCCCAGGTCAGTTTTGTCCTTCGTTTGTCATTTGTTTTCACCTTACAGTCTTTAGCCAGGGTCGGGCAAAGAGAGGGCCGTGACCCGGCCGCCGCCGGCGCCCACGTGGCGCCGAGGGTCTCCGGAGCCAGCAGGACCCGCCCCACCCCCCACCCCGCGCCGCTCGCTCCTTTCTCGGGGCCCGCCCGCCGGGAGCTGCCCTCTTCCAACATGGCGCCGCGGGAGGCGGGTCCCGTTCGTCGGCTCCCGGGGTTCCGGCGCCGCGCGTTTTGGTTCCGGAGTAACAGTGCTCTCGCTGCCGCCTTCCTCCTCCTCTCGCCGCTGCCGCCGCCGCCGCCGTCGCCGCTGGGACGCGCGGCCTGAGGCGGCCGGGGCTGATCCTGCGCGCGCCGCTGCGTCTGTATCTGTGTGGGGCAGAGGACTCGCCCGCTGACCCTCCCGCGGAGCGCCCCCTCGGCGTTCTAGTGGTCTGGAGGTCCCGGGGCTCCTTCCTAATAGCCCGGGACGGAGTCTCCTCCAGTCGGGACCTTCTCCTCATCCACTGAGGAGGGGTGGACCCCTGCCGCTGTATCTCCCCCAAACTGGGTCCTTCCTCTGCCATCTGTTCACACTCACACGGACGGCAGAGAGCTTCACCATACTGTTTGCCTTCCTTTCCAACTCCAGAACCTTCTGACCTCCGCTAGTTCCTGCTAGCCCCTGCCGGCTTCCCAGTGCGCCCCGCTCGGAGACACCCTCACGCCCCATACACCCTGGGTCTGGCTCGGTGCCTGCGGGCCCCTGCCTGATCACCCCTTCTCTCGTCGCCACACCCTTATCCTTCAGTCCCCTGTTTTCACCTTCTGTTCTCTACCCCTCACTCCCTTTGTCACCTCTTGAAGTCCCTGCCTAACCAGGGGCCAGCCGGTACCCCCCTACCCCAAGATGTGAGCCCCTTTAACCTGTAATGCTCTGGCTGACCCTTGGCCCCTTCCATGCCATGGAGAACCAGGTGCTGGTGATTCGCATCAAGATTCCAAATAGTGGCGCGGTGGACTGGACAGTGCACTCCGGGCCGCAGTTACTCTTCAGGGATGTGCTGGTGAGTGGTCATCTCAGTGTCCAAATCCCCGAGTGGGGGGCTCAGGGACGTGGGTAGTCAGCAGCTTGACTACTGGTGGCATGTGTTAGTGGTGATGGCAGTTTTATTGCTTCAACCACAGCATTGATTAATTGCATCGACCAAAACCTGGCAAATGTGCAGGGCTCTGGGGAAATAGATGGATGAGACTGAACCCCTGCCCTCAGGGAGCTCACAGCCTGAACTGAGACATACACACAGAGGCAGCTAACTGGGATGTAAAACGCTGTCTAGAAGAGTTTTTTCGTAAGTGTTTCAGGGAATGTCCCTGGCCAGATTCCAGCCATGTCTTTCTACTATGTTCTCTGAACTTGGTGACCAGCCAGGAAAGGGAAACAAGGGCAATTTTAATTTACTATGTTGGCAAATTTAAGGCATCATTGAGTGTAAGACATCTTACCACTAAGAAAGAAAAAACTACCTGTTAACTATGATATACCATCCGTTGTACAAAAATAGCCCAATTTCAGAGATATTAAAATAGAGGGAAAATGTGCATCTTAGAATTGATGATGTATTACCTTCAGGATACTCAGAATATATTTCAAATAAAACTATGTAATGTTAGAGCCATAAATAAAATTATGGATTGTAGGTGGCCTATTCAGCCCATGTATCTTTTTTGCAGATAGTTACTGAGGAGCAGTGAGGTGACAAGATTTTCCAAAGCTGTGTAGCTCTTGAGTGGGAGAGTCAGTACTGGAGCTTAAATTTTCTTTCACTTAGTAATTTTCTCCCCCACATGCTGCAGCCATATTTCATCTTTTTAGTATTCATTTGAGATAGACAAAGTATATTGTGCCCATTTTTATACTGAATGACAGAGGCATGGAAGGCAGAAACTGATACACCAAGAAGCACTGTTGCAAGTAGCAGGTCTATGGTGGAACTTACCTGTAAGATAAGAGGGGGCTGGGTGACAAAGCATCATGGGAGGAGGAAGATTGCGTTGTGATTTTTTTATTGTCTTGGGTGACTCAATCAAAACTTGATTTCTGTAACTTCATTTTGAGTTGTGACCAGGCCATGCAGATGTTCAGGTGCCTCGCCCAAGAGAGTAGAGGCTGTAGTGAGCCAGCAGCCTTCAATTCTGTGCACCAAATGCCACCCTTCTTTTTGCATCCAGAGCTCTGCATACACTCACCTGCATATATATTTCACCTCATGATAAAGCCCAAATTCCTTCACATGGCCCTCTGGGCACATCTTGTTTGGCTTTTGCTTGCCTGACATCAACTACATCTCTCACCACACCCCTATGAGCATCCTGTGCCCCAGGTACGAAGAATTACTTTCATTTCTCCCAAGTGCCCAGGCGGTCTCCACTCTGCCCTTTTCTCCAGTTGACCAATTCCCACCTATCCTTCCAAGCCAAGTTTTGCTTTTTCTCCATGTTAGTCTTAGTGTGTACCCCACCTCTGTGTTCCCACAGTTTCATGTAGTTACCCCAGCAAAGCACATATGTTCAGTCATGATTCTTTGTCTCCTCCACTAGATGATGAACTTATGGAGGAGATGGATGTATGTTTTCCCTGTTTCTGTTGCTTCATGGGACCCTGGAATATTTGCTTAATGAGGGAGCTTAAAAGAGGATACGTGCAGTTATGTGGACAGAGCACTAGGTTTTGAGTCAAGAAATTTGGGTTTAATTGTAAGCTGTCTTGGTAACTAGAGAAGTCACTACGTCTCTGAGCCTTAGTTTGAATACTTGTACCTGCCTCAAAGACTTGTGAAGATTAGGTGAGATTGTATCTATGATAAGAAAGATGAGCTTTCTCTCACTTCACCCATTTGAAACATAGAAGGTCTTATTTTAAGTAGGGTAGTACAGTGTTTAAGACCACAAACTCTGGAGCCAGACTGTCTGGGTTTAAATCACAAGTCCAACCACTTGGAGAAGTATCTTCTGTGTCTCAGTTTCTTTATTGTTAAAAAAAAAGTGGGGGGAGGAAATAAAAATAGTACCTACCTCATAGAATTTTGAGGACTGCTCGAGTTGGTACATGTGAAGCACTTAGAACAATCCAGTATGTAGTGAGCATTCTGTAAGTGTTGTTATTATTGGTGTTATTACAACATAAGGGATGGGGCCTTGATCTTTTAAGCTTCTTGAGCACCTCTAAGTTGTATCTGGCCCAAGGCTGACTAGCCTGAAAGTAAACATTGCACAAGTGGCCCTACTGCTAGAGTTCAGAGTGCCATGTGTCTGCACACTTTTGCTCACATAAGCCCAGGTGGACCATGTTTTGTCTGGAAGACCTGATGATGGACTTGTGGCAGTGGACTCCATGCTGTTTCCCTCATAGCAAGTTCTGCGAGTGTTCAAGCCCAGATCCTTGTGGACTCCTGTAGGCTTGTCTCTGGGTTCACTTCATCTCTTCATCAAGAAAAGACAAGAACCAACAGATACATCAGCATCTCTGGCTTGGAACCTTAAACGTTAAAGCCATGTCAAACCTTGAAGCTTCCCCTTCATGTAATTCTGACTTACTTCAAATGAGGAGGCATGAACCCCAAAAGGGGAAAATGCCTTGCTAAAGCCACAGCTAGTTTTTGGCAGACCTTGACACAGAAGCCAGAAGCAAGTTATAATCACTGAGTCAAGTGTAACTGAGTGTCTTGGACCTGAAGTCAGTAGTTGAGGGTTTTAGTCGCTGCTACATGAAGTAGCTGGGAGACCCTGGGCAAGTCTTCAGACAAAAGACAGCCTCTCTGGGCCTTGTCTTTTGTCCGAATCGTCAGGGACTGGCAGCAGTGTGCAGGAGGCCTACCTGGTCCTAAAGGGAAGAGACATTTGAATTATCTGTTGTATCTGTTTTGTAGCTTTCTATGTTTCTCCTCTTCCCTGAAGGAGTCCCTAGTTCTGGGAAAACTGCAGGAGGTTGGGAGAGTGTCCAGTCCTCTTTGCTCTGTTGTTTATATTCTATGGCAGGGGTCCTCAAACTTTTTAAACAGGGGGCCAGTTCACTGTCCCTCAGACTGTTGGTTAGTGCACACTGTGGGCCCTGGACAAGTCGGCTGCTCAGCAGGACAGACAGTGGCGGCAAAAACACCCAGCAGGACGGATAAATGTGCTAGGCGGCACGTATGTGGCCCGTGGGCTGTAGTTTGAGGATGCCTGTTCTGTCGTCTCTAGGTCCCACCTCAGATTCCCCTCCTCTATGAAATGTCTGTCTAAACTGAGCCTTTGATTTTTCCCTCCTCCTGAGTTAGCAAATACTATTTGCTATTTATGTTTTTTGTTTGGTTCTTAGTGTACTATAGAGCCAAACATACTATGCTTTATATTATTGATCTTTTAGGTTTGTCTGAAGTCAAGGACCAAGTCCCTATTTTCATATAGCCTATAGCTTTTGTGAGCTTTTGTGCTCTTGGCATGTTGTAGATGCTCAATTATATTTTTGGTCCCTCAGATATTTGTATGATTTATTGAAAGGAAGGGGAAGAAAAGAATCAAGAAATGATCACTATTAAGATATGTAAACTTAGTTTTTCTTTTGAAATCTTCAGGTTAGGAAAAATGGTTATGTTGTTGAAGGTAGGAGCCGGTCACTTGGAAATAAGTCACTTAAAATGTTACTGGAAAATATACATAAAATCATTAAATGTACCCTACTTAAAAATTACTAGTAGATATTGACCAATTTTCAAACTTCTCACACGTTTGTCATTATGATAGCCTCACTTTATTCTATTTAAAGAAATAAGATGGTTGTGTTCACATGGTTCTCTCCAGCAAGTTTGTTTTTTTCTGTCTCCTTTTCCCCATGTCACATGTAAAGCACGTGTACAGGCACCTTATTTATGTTGATGGGCGAAAGCATGCCATTGCTGCCCAGTGGAGTTATCAGCTGGTTGTTAGAAATTTGCTGTTTGATGGGGTCTGCTATTCATAGGTAGAGAGGATCCTAAATTAATTTGCTAATACTGTAGAGGGAGCAGAGTTCCCTGGAAGTAACTAGTGATAACCTAGACTTAGAGGGTTGGGGATGGAGCAGTTTTTTCCACCCTCCTTTTTTTTCCCTTTTTAAAACCTATACTAGCTAGAAAGGATCTTCAGTAAATGCTGTGGAAGGATGAAGTCAGTGAATGAATGACTATCCTCCATTGATTGTTGGGTGCTGGAATTTTAAGGTTTTATTATGAAATAAGCTTTGTAATGTTTCAGTGATCAGTGCTGTGATTTTGTTTATTTGTTTGTTTGTTTGTTTTGAGACAGAGTCTTGCTGTCACCCAGGCTGAGGTGCAGTTTGCAATCATAGCTCACTGTAGCCTCAAACTCTTGGGCTCAAGCGATCCTCCTGCCTCAGCCTCCTAAGTAGCTGGGACTACAGGCATGTGCCACCACACCCAGCTAATTTTTACATTTGTTGTAGAGATGGAGTCTCGCTGTATTGCGCCAGGCTCCTGGCCTCAACTGATCCTCCTGCGTCAGCCTCCCAGAGAGTGGGGATTACAGACATGGGCCACTACACCCGGCCAGTAATTTGTGTTATTTATTTAGCAGGCACTAATATGATACTTGCCATGTGCTAGACACTCTTCTAAGCACTTTCTAAATATTAACTCATTTAGTTGTACAAGGTAGGTACAGTTACAATCTCATTTTACACATAAGGAAACTGAGGCACAGAGACATTTGCTCACTCAGCTGTGAGAGGCAGAGCCAGCATCCAGCCCAAACAGTTTGGCTCCAGATTCCATGCTTTTAGGTTTTACACTGGACTGCTTGTGTACTTTGTTCCGTATTTGCTCTACAATTTTCTATCAGTAAGTCCTGTCTACCTATGAATGTAGAAAAAATTTTTTACCACTCAAATCTTTTTCAGATACTTCCTCAAAAAGTTGATGTTTCATTTACTGAGACTAGAGTCAGAGAAAAAAATAATCTCTTTTGGCTCTAATGAGCAAGGGCTGCCTGAGATAGTTCTCTTTGATCAATTTTATATGCACAGATTTATTTTTGAAAAAAAAGAAAGCACTGTAGAGGCAAGACTATTATGCAAATTGCCACTGCTGCAAAAGCTTCTAAAGAATTGCCTTTAGAAGGAAGTTGCAGCCGCCACTCTGCTAAGTGCCCTGCTTAGAAGGGCTGTGGACTCCCTGCTGAGAAATATTGCAAGCAGCTTTGTCAGCTGGCTGCCTGGTGCCAGTTCTTTGCAGCCTGGGAGGGACTTTGTGGCAGAGCTCCCAGAGAGAAATGAGGTCTGCAGGCCATTCGGGTTGGACTGGACATAATGGAGGATCACTTCCCCAGAACTGAGGGGTACCGTGCCTCTTCAGTTGAGCTTCTCAGTAGGCTAATTTTCAAGTCTTTTCAACTTTATAGATTTATTCAAACATTGATATCATATTATATACACTTTTAAGGGTTTGTTTTTTTTTGTAGGCCAGATTAATTTTATTTTGGTGTTATTAGGTATGTTTTCTATTGCTTAAGAAAAGGTTTATAAGAATTGTTTGTATTAAATGTAGCATAATGGGTTTATATCATCATCAGGAAAACTTGTGTGTTGAACTCCTACCATTAAGAGTGCAAGGCACGATGTTGCTTGTTATATATCAGAACTACATTGTTGAAAATGTCTATAATTTCTAAGCTTATGTTTATTACATTCATTTTTACATTACCTCTGTGTTACTAGACCCATTTTGGAGGATAATCAAATTGAGGCTCAGAGAGATTAAGTGATTTTTTTTCCAATAAATGCAGAGCTGAGATTCAACCTAGGTCAGTCCGACTCTCAAACCCTTTTATCTTTCCATTGTAGTATATTCCACAACCTCCCATAGAAGAAACCAACTTTTTGTAAATACACAACAGTGTACACTGTTGAATTGTGAGTAAAAGATTATGTTATTAATACAGAGCAGAAAAGATTTCCTAAAGATTTTTCTCCCTGGAATAGAGATTTAAACTCTGGGTTTACATTGCTGGGCTAAGTGTGATTATGAGCTAATGTTTTTATAGTTTATGCCAACATTTCAAAAATCTTTCCCAGGTTCTCATATTTCCTCTAGGATTTGCCACATGTTAGCAATAAAGAAGATGGCTAATTGTGTTTCTTTATTCTTTCTTTGTTTAGGATGTGATAGGCCAGGTTCTGCCTGAAGCAACAACTACAGCATTTGAATGTAAGTCTGGCTTGTATACTTTCTTGACTGTTTCTTTCTGCAGTAATTTTTTAAAGGGTTTATGAGTTGCATTACTTAGAAACTGACAAAAACAGATTATTTATGATTATCATATGGTACATTTAAATATTTATAAATTAATACAAGTTTAATGATGATACTTAACCGAGTAATATTTTCTTATTTAATCATATCTTGGGTGAGCATATTTCTACAATATAGCTTTAATTACCAACGTGACCTTTATTTGCTCTTGCTCCTCATTGTAATAATGTTCTGGGACAAAATGAAACGTGTAAACTACCTGTAGGCCAGTGATTATTGATAAAGAGATTTTAATCCATTGCTGTTTTAAAACAGCAACAAAATAGAGCTTTTACATGAGAATTGCACAGAATAATTCTGTTTTAGTGGGGCTTGGCAGGATTGCTAGATGATGACAGGAACACTTCAGGTCTCTAGGATGACTGGGGGACTGGAAAACTGGTTTTGACATGTATACTTTGCAGGGGAGGTCATGGTCTGAGTAATATTAAGATAAGAGTTTAGGCCAGGCAATTGGGCTCATGTCTATAATCCCAGCCCTTGGGGGGCTGAGGCGGGAGGATGACTGGAGGCCAGGAGTTCAAGACCAACCTTGGCAACATAGTGAGACCTCCTCTGTACAAAAAAAAAAAAAAAATTAGCTAGGCATGGTTGTGTGCCCCTATATTCCTAGCTATTTGGGAGGCTGAGGTGACAGGATTACTTGAGCCCAGGAGTTTGAGGCTGCAGTGAGCTATGATCACACCACTGCACTCCAGCCTAGGCAACCCAGCAAGAGCCTTTCTCTAAAATAAAAAATAATAATAATAATTAGAATTTAGTCAGTAACATAGACGCTAAGGTGCTAAGAAGGATAAAGTAAGGGTTTAGAACTATGGTTCTTATCTTTTTTTGAAGATGAGGGCCACTTTTCAATGTAGAAAAGTTTCAGTTTTTCCACACAATAGTATACTTTTTTGTTCCTATTTTTTAAGAAGATGATTACAGACAGAGAATACAATGGGTACATCCTCTTTGGAGGGCAGTTTGGCAATACTTATTAACATGTAAAATGTGCAAAACCTTTGAGTTAGCACATCTACTTATAGGAAGCTATTCAACAGAAATAGTTACATATGTGTTGAATACTCTTCAAGCAAAGTATTCGTTATGGGATTATTTTTAACAGCAAAAAGTTGGAAGCAAAGTAAATACCTAGTATAATGGGTTAATAAATTATAATCATCCGTAATTTGAAGCAGTAAACAGCAACTAAAAAGAATGAGTTAGGATTTTTGCATTGACGTGGAAAGATATCCATGATGTCTTATTGAATAAAAAATACTATGTATGATATGATCCCATTTTATAAAAAGTTTAACCTTTCTCCCCCAACATTATGTATATATTGAGAGAAGAGTGCCCGCTGCAGTGCTTTCCAGTGGCTTCCTCTGAAAAGTGGCTTTGGGACCTGGGAGGTGGGGCAGTGATAGATGAATGAGCACACTTTTACTCTATGTATTTCGTTATTGTTTGAATATTTTTCAATAATCATTATTTGTTTTTAAACTATAACTATAACTTTTAATGTAATTAGTAATTTATAAATCACACTGGGCTTTGTATACTATAGCAAAAAAGTACATATGTCTGAAATACATGTATTAGTGTTGCAAGCTCTATTGAGATTCCTTTTAGTAACTGCTTAGAAGTGCCAGGAGTTTCGCGGACAGTCTGATAGTTAACATTTGGAATATTTACTGTTCATGGATGATGTGCTAAGAGCATTTCATGGGTTATCTCATTTATTTTAACCATCCATGAAGTACTTTGAAGGACTGTTATTAGCTCTGTTTTAGTTGAGGAAAGGACATCTCTTTTAAGCAATGTATAGTCTCACAGCTAGTAGGTGATAAAGTGGAGTTTCTGGAGTAGATTCTAGAGCATATATTCTTAACCACTGTGCTCAACTTGTCCTGAGAATTGTCAAAATTCTTGAAAGTGCATTTTCTGGTTGTTCTTAAGCATGGCAAAAAGCAGCTTACTTTCTACTTTCTACTTGCTTTTTGGGTCCCCCAAATGCCTTGATAACTTGTGCCTGCCTCACTAGCTTCCAGTTAGAGTTTGTAATAATAATACTGATTATTTTAACTATAATTATTTTATTATTCTGTGCCAGGCATTGTAGTAGATGACTTAGCTAGGTTGTTACTATCTTTACCCTGACCCTGTGAGGTAGGAAAATTATACCTGTGAGGAAACTGAAGCTCAGAGACTTGAAATGATTGTTGAAGGTGATTGCTGGGAGGTGGTGGAGCCCAGATTCAAATGCACATCCTTTTGACTATGAAGCTTGCACTCTATAACCAAGTGTGTCGAAAGCCTGTGAAGTGTAAGAATAGAAAAGTTTAAACCTTGAGATTTAAGTTCTGTGTTACCATGCTCTTCCTTTTCCCCCACGAGGGACAGCAGCTCTGTATACCCACCTGTGTCTGGACCAGTTTTAGATGAAAAACAATTAACAAACCCACAGACAAAATAATGACAGTCCTTAGTTTTTTATGTTTGGATTACCATGTACTTTCCATTATAGACTTGTAATCCTAGGCTGGCTTTTTTCATGATTGTTCTAGGGTGACTTTATTTTCAGAACCAAAAATCTGAACCAATGGAATCTACGTATAAGAAATAGTTGAGAAGATAAAGTTTTTAAGTAAATTTACTGGATTTGGGGGGGATAGTCCAGTGGTTTATGAGTATGATAGAACAACCCTCAAATAAATATAATTTTAATCAAAGAAATATTTATGGTAATATATTTAATACTGAAAAGTATACCTAATACTAATTGACTTTTTTTTTTTTTGAGACAGAGTCTCGCTTTGTTGTCCAGGCTAGAGTGAGTGCCGTGGCGTCAGGCTAGCTCACAGCAACCTCAAACTCCTGGGCTCGAGCGATCCTTCTGCCTCAGCCTCCCGAGTAGCTGGGACTACAGGCATGAGCCACCATGCCCGGCTAATTTTTTTTATATACATATCAGTTGGCCAATTAATTTCTTTCTATTTATAGTAGAGATGGGGTCTTGCTCTTGCTCGGGCTGGTTTGAACTCCTGACCTCGAGCAATCCTTCTGCCCTGCCCCCCAGAGAGCTAGGATTACAGGAATACTGAAAAGTATACCTAATACTAATTGACTTTTTATACAACAGAGATAGTGTTATACTCAGTGATATAAATTAAGCAGCAAGAGAAAGGGCAGCTATCAAATTTACCTGTTTTATATAAATATAGAGAAAGAGTTGAGTAAGTAGAAAAGAGGGGAAGGGTCAGAATATTATAGATTCTCCGGTTCTGAGAAATGCCATCTCTTTAATGAAACCACCGGTGATTCCAAGTCGGGTTAATCTCTCCGCACAAGAGCAGGGAACCCCCTCAGCCTGCCTTCTGGTTTATTGTGTGTGTGTGTTTTTCTCCTTCACTACATTTTGAGTCTGTAGGTGATAGGCACCATATTTTATTCCATTCTTTCTCTCTTCTTAGTAATGAGCTTACTGCCTTAGAGGAACACACTTGCTGAATGAAATAGAATGTTATGTGTGTCCATATTCAAATGAAAATTGTAAAATGCATGTGATCTAAAGCTAAATGAGTAATTTGCTTTTTTGTATTATTTGTTCTGTTGTCTAGACATGGGATATAATTGGTTGGTGGTGGGCAATTCAGACTCCAAATTCAAATTCCCACATTTGACTGTCGTGAGGGAGCAGAGGGTCTGCAGTAGCTGTATTCTTTCTGATTTCTATTCCTGGGGTTGGTATTTCCAAGGGGAGTTAGGGATGGATGAAAGGAGGGAGGCCTGTCACTGCTGAACTCACCTTTTGGGCTAATGGTCCTAAACTTATTTTTCTTCTTATTCCTTTTAGGTCCTTTCTCCCTTACAGCTAGAGCACAGATGAAAATAGTTTTTAGTAGCTAGTGTTTTTTTTTTTTTTTTTTTAATTTAGAAGGTTCAAATAATCTTAAAAAAAATTCAAGCAGCATAGAAATAAAGCAAAAAGTAAACGTCCCAATTTCCCCTCAGTTTGCTGGTTTCATTATTAACCATTTTTTCTGTATCTTTACAGAAATTTTTTCTGCACATGGTATATACGATGCTGTACTAATTTTTCCTGTCCCCACTTAATATTATATTTTAGACCTCTTTTGAACACCAGTGTGCACAGATCAACATCATTCTTTTGGATGGCTATATTATACTTAATTTTATGGCTGTGGCTTACTTTAAATTACTGAAGACATTTAAGTTGTTACCAGTTTTTTAGTATTAGAAAAAAAATGCTGAAGTCAATGGAGTTGTCTTATATCTTTTCACATTGTGGAAATACATTTTTAGGATTAAATTCCTAGGAGTTGGAACTATTGAGACAAAGAGTTGCCAGGAGTGGTGGCTCACACCTGTAATCTGAGCACTTTGGGAGGCCAAGGTGAGAGGATCAGTTGAGGCCAGGAGTTTGAGACTGGTCTGGGCAACATACTGAGACCTGGTCTCTACAGAAAATTAAAAAGTTATCTGGGCATGGTGGCATGCAACTGTAGTACCAGCTACTTCAGATGCTGAGGCAGGAGGATTGCTTGAGCCCAGGAGTTCAAGATTGCAGTGAGTTATGATTATGCCACTGCACTCCAGCCTGAGTAACAGAGTGAAATGCTCGTGCTCGCTCGCCCTTTCTCTCTCTCTCAAAAAAAGAGTATTCTTGTTTTATTATCTATTAATATTACTATGTTTGCTCTCTAAAAGGTAGGACCAATTTACACTCCTACCAACAACAGTGTATGAGAAGGCCCATTTCCCTCTACATTTACCTACTCTGGATAGTAACAGACTTTTCAGTCAATGTCAATTTGATAAGTGAAAAAGATTATTACGTTACTGTTTTATTTTATATTTCTTTAATTATAAATGAGCTTGAACATCTT